AACCCAAACTCTCAGGGAACAGCCTGGGCTGGGTTTTCCTTCATTTATGCCACAACATTCATGAAGCTCCTCCTACACGGAGGACGCTGGGTTAGGCACTAGGGACGAAATAATGCGCCTGTTCCCTCGGTCCCAGGCTTTGAGATGTCCCCAACCCGAGGGCGCATCTCCAGGGTTGCCGTCCATGAAGACCCGCCCTGGAAGCCCACACGCCTGAGCTCATCACAGCGCCCCCTGCCAGAGCTAGGCTCCCAGCGGGGCCTGCGTCCGAGACGTCCTGCGTGTCGCGCTCAGTCGCCCAGCGCTGAATCAGTCCTTGCTGACTCAATGCGTGAAATACCTGTCGCAGAGCCCCCGGCCACAGCCTAGACGCCCGCAGAGCCTTCCCGGCGCGTGCTCCTCCCACGGTGTTTTACAAGTGCGTTGCCTGCCTGTCCAGCCCCTGACATCAGAGGTGGGAGTGGAGAAAGCTGTTCAGTGAGAACATTCTCTTGTAACGTGAGGCTAGAAAGTGCCAAGCTGCATCACCACGGCAACAGTATTTTCATAATGAATATTTTCACTCTTCGTTTAAGGTAGTGGAAAATGGCATAACAATAACAAGGAGCTTAAAAGGGGGCAAGCGCTGGCTGTCTGTGAAAACCTCCGTGTCTGGCGATGACCGCCCGGCGCTGCCCGTTGGTGAGAAGAGAAAGAGATGCCGCGGGCCCCTGCTAGCTCTCTGGGGTGCTGATGTACGTGTTCGGGCCAGGGTACTTCGGATTTCTCCTCGTCCTCCTTTAAAGGGTGGCAGTCACCGGCCTTTTTACATGGCTTCAGCGATCCTCAAAGAAGCCTGTGACATCATTAAATAAGAGATTTAAGGAAAGTGACCCGAACAAAGCACATGAAAAACAGACATCCTGGTCAACCGAGAGCTTCTGTGATGGGTGCCTCCAAGTTTGGTGGAAATTATTTGTAATTGGGCTATTTTGTTCTCTCACTTCTTAAAGTATTAAGTCTTTAGGAGAAAGCCTATAAATTAAAGTGTTGTGAAACAGCTTGCCTTTGAATGCTGTGCAAATAGTTTCATGGGAGAGTGAGGATATCAATTTTTATAAACAATTTCACATTTACAGGGCTGAGTTGTTATTTTTTGATTGTTTAAATTGCATTAGGTTTCTCAAAATGCAGTAGGAAGGCCGGTCCATTGTATTTTTCAGAAGAAAGCTGGTTTTCACAATATTATTCACGTTTTGTAAACAGCCTCAATGAACCTGCTCATAAAAGGTTAAATGTTTGCAGACCATTCTTTTTTGCCTCAAAGATCAGAGACAAATTACTATTTTTATTTTCCATTCCCTTGATGAGGATAATGCTAACCAGCTGTCACTCAGTGCTTAGACTGCAAAGAATCCTATTGCAATCCTATAATTTAAACAAAGAAAAAATATAGTCATACACAGTGTACAATGCAGAAAAGAGCACAAGGGAGAATTTGGTTAGGGCTGGGGTTAGGGGAAAGGAGCATTTGCTCTCTGCAATTACTCAGTTAAAAGAAAAATTCCATCTATGTACATTTTTCCCATTCATCTTAGACATATTAGAAGGGGCAATTATTCCTCCTTTCTTTCTAAAATCAGGAAGAAAAAAAAATGCATTCCGAATTCTCTGATCCTTGTCATGTCCATGCTGCTGTCAGAAGAGTTAAGATCTGCATGTAACTGCGTGCCTGCTAGTATTTCCAAAAGCTAGAGATTTTTCAAATGGCTTCATTGGTTATTCGGGGCGGGGTGTGTGTGTGTGTGTGTGTGTGTGTGTGTGTGTGTGTGTGTGTGTAGAATGAGTCTGCTCAGTGTTCTCCATTTACTTTGTTTAATTGCTTCTGGTTTCAAAAAAATGAAAGTAAGGGTCTTGTGCGTATTTTCATAGTCAAAATGGAAAGCGAGGCCAAAGGCTAAGCGCATGAAATGGGGACGGTCAGTGTGCCTCTGTGAAAATGCAGGTGCTGATGGAATGTTCCTGGCATTTCATTTTCCTGGAGGTTCTTTTAGTAAATACTGCTTTTCTCTTTTGGCTGTATCACTTAGTTTTTACCAATGTCAGTACTTGCATGAGGCATCGTTTTCCTAGAAACTCATTTTTCCCTTTATTATTTATCTGCAAAATTGACTTGATATTGTATGGCTGTTGCACCGTTTGATGACACTTGTTGACGTCATACACCTAAGGGAGAACGGGAATGGGTTTAATGCTGCCTTCGTCCCACACCGGTGAAACGGATCGGCTCTCGGGCCTCAGCACGCCCTTCGACAGGGGCACAAAATGGTGCGCGCCTCCAAGGGCGTGGTGCGGCCTTCCAGGGAGGGGGTTGGCCCCGCTCCTAGAACAAAGTCAATGTTTCTGAGACATGCAGTGTGTCCGTGCTGAAATGCCATCACCCCCTGCTGTTAAACACAACAGCAAAATCCCAGTCTGCCTCAGATGAGAGATGGGTTGCATGGAATCCATTACAGACATCTCTGTTGCTTTGTATAAAAGTGGCTTTCCTCACAAAGCTGTAGGTCACCTGCTCTCATTGATGCACACAATTTCATAATCATTTTTTTCTTCCTTACCATTCCCACAGTGTAGGGGATCCTAACTCATCAACAGGGAATTTCTCTGGTCTCCAGTCTCCCCAACAAGTAGACACTCCGGAGACCCAGAGATGCATGGACCGCTTCCTTGTTTCAGGCCCATCCCTTGGTGGTTTTCTCTCCTCCTGCTTCTCCTCCTTCCCCCGAGTATCGAGTATCGAGCTCTGTGCCGGGAGGGGGAGAGAAGCAAGCCCCCAGAGACTAATGGAGGCGGAGCATAAACTAGGCTGGACAGCAAGCGCGAGACACGTGATGCGGGGAGGCTGCCGGGCCTCGCGCCTGGGAGCCAGCTGGTCTGGAAGGGGTGGCGGGTACCGCGGCTTTGAAAGGTGGGGGCGGGGCGGGGGGCGGGGGCGGTCCAAGGGGGCCGGCTGGCAGACAGCATATACAAAGAATAGCGTTTGCTGTCTTTACATATAGCTTGAGTTGTCAGTGTTTTATGTTCCTGTTTTTTCCCCTTTAATTTTCAAAATGTGTGTCGAGAGTCCAGCAGCTCCCTAACCGATATCCCATGAAGATTTAGACACTCATATTTATTTATTGCGCACCCACAATGCCCTCGGCTAGGTCATCTCATATGTGTTACCTCATTTAGCTTCCAGAATCTTTCTGGGGAAGTATACCCCCATTTTAAAGGCAGGGAAGCGGAGTCTCGGTTATATTAAATAACTGAAGTGTGGCCACCCAACCAGCACGTAGTGGAGCCTGAATGTGAACCCCAAGTTTTCACTTTCAAACATGCTACCCTCAAAACCACATCTTAGGGCTTGGGCTCAACGAGGAGCACATTTGCAGGGGCCCCCCAGCCCCCCACCCCCCACTAGAAAGAAGTTTGAGAACGTGAGTGGTTTTCCTCATTGGCGACCTTCTCGCTGTCACTTTGCCACGTTATGGCCTTAACACTTGACCTGTTTGTCCCAGATCCGACGGTGCTTATATCACAAATTAGTAAGTGAAGAATCACATAAGACTTGATTCCATTTTTTTCACTGGCCAAAGACCATTTAAAAAGAAATGATGAAGGGGAACAACTGTCATTTTTGAAACTTCCAATCTTCGACCTTGCTGTAGTAGCAGTAAGATGCCTCAGAAATGTCCTTGAAGTGTCCTTGAAGCAGGGGGTCATTATCTCAGGGATTGGAAAATGACTGCTGTAATTTAGAGTAAGCGCATATTATTTTAATATTTTTTAAAAGTGTTGGCTATTTCTGAGCAAGAGAAGCCTATATAAATAATTAGAACCAATTTCTATCTTTGTTTTGTTGATTTTGTGGCCTTCACATATGCATACTGACTCAAAGGAAAAACTTGTCACTTATAAACCCATTTAAGCCATTTAGCACAGTGCTTTTCCTAGAACTGATTGGATGATCGAAAGCCTGGCAGATCAAAGTATGTACATTTCCAAGGAGAAATACTTTATGTTCACATTGGAAGCAATAAATTATCCCCCCCCCCTTTTTTTGCATTCATAATTAAATCTTTCCAAATGCTAGAAAGTAGCCAGACCACTAACAATATTTGTATCATGTTCTGGGGCTTAGATGGTTCGACCTGGCTTGAAATGGAGACCATTTGTTCTAAATTGATTTCAATGCCAAGCCAATAGGTCAGCGTTTAATGACGAAGATGCCGTTCCAGCCCAGCCTCTGGTGGATAAGCCAAAGTGAATTAGCTCAAGTCCCATAGTATAGAAAACAGATGCTTCTCTCCTGTTGCACAAATAAATGCTTTAAGTATAGATGCGTTCTGTTCTATTCAGAGAGTAACAAGTTGGAAGTTAAAACTGTAAGTTTGTCACATCGGAGCCAGCCTTTGGCGGTGATGACAGAAGCATGAATTTGCATAACAAATCCCAGCAAGTGCGTGGAAAAATGAATTGTCCTCTCGCTCTCTGGTTTTGGCTCCAGGCCAGGCGTAGGGGGTTTAGTTTTAAATCGGGGCTGATCCAAATGCTGATCCATTTCCGAGCAGACCTGGGAGTTCCAGAGCAACACCAAGGTTATTTGTAATCTTCAGAATCCCCGGAGACCCCTCCCAGAGGTTTACATCTGCGCACATGTTTGGATTCCTTTCATGGCTTACGATCAGATTGTTCCCCAAGGGGATGTTGTTAGGTGCACCGTTTATCTGGTTATCCATCTCTGCATTCATTCAGAATGAGAGGGCTTGCTCTTCCTAGATCCCCACAGGCTCCAAGAGGAATAATAACCGCATGGTGTGGACCTCACCTCAGAGGGAACGGCTGCCCCCTGAGGGTGCTACCAGCTAGTCGTGTAACTCCAAATACAGTAAACAGAGGGTGGTCATCTGATAATGTCTGGCATTTTCTTTCTCCTGAACGAATGTGAAATAATCCATTCTTCCTTCCCTTTCCGTTAGACTGAAAACGATGAGAATGGCCAAGCAGAAAACTTTTCCATGGACCCCCAGCTGGAGAGGCAGGTGGAAACCATTCGCAACCTCGTGGACTCCTACATGTCGATCATCAACAAATGCATCCGCGACCTCATTCCAAAAACAATAATGCACCTGATGATCAATAATGTAAGTGATTCTAAAGCCCCTCCCTTTAGCGCCGAGCCCTTCCGACCGTGGAGATTGCTGCATCCTCTTCAGTCTCCTTGTAATAGTCTGTGGATGGTTGCAATACCGGTTCACCAGGTCATCATTTTCCATTGCAAGGGGCCAGGACTGCCCGGTGAAACAGAACGCGGCACCTCTAGCTCCAGGACGGTGGTGTTTCCTGTTGGCTTCCTGCTGTAGGGGAGGGCGAACTGCTGACCGGAAAACAGAGCATCACTGTGGTCCGGATATAAATTAGTTGCAAAGCCAGCAATCAAAGCAGGTTCCCTGGCTCCTCGATTCTGAGATTAAAGGCAAAAGATATTTGTTCTTTTTCACACACACACATGCTCACACACTATGTCAACACGATCATCTTCACCTGCTACAAATGACGGAATGCTGCCTTACCCTGGCAAAGGGCCCTGCGCCCTCTCCCCGTGGACACGAAGTCCGGCAGTGCCCCTGCCCTCAGGTGAGGCTGCTGCAGCCGCGGACCCCAGGTGCCCTGCCACCCGGCCATCAGGTGCCCCGTGTCGTATGGAGTCTCTCCCTCTGCGCGGTTATCTTTAGAGCAGTCACAATACGATGCTCGCTCTACACGGTCAGGGTTGGTTCTTCGGTAGCTACTTTGTTAAAGTACAAATAATATCACAAGTTATGCGAGGCATTATCTTTTAGATAAGATAGTCCATAATGGGGTGCCTGTAGCAGCCTTTCCTGCCTCTTGAAAAGTGTGATGCCAGGTATTTTATTCCTACTGATCTTTCCAGGGATCCTCTTTATTTAAGCCGATGGTAGGTTATGAGCATTTGCTTGTAATGACTCAAAATCAGGTGGCAAAAGTGCTGAAAAGCGCCCCACACTAAAATTCAGGAGAAATGAGGTTCCTACACCTGGTTCTGCTACAGACTCTGCCCTCTCAAGACAAATCGCCAAACAGCTCAGCATCTGATTCCTCTAGATGCACAATACTCGTCATACAAAAAGTACCTGGCTTGGGGATTTGTTCTGGAAGACAGTATAGATGGAGGCACTATGAAGAATATCATAGTAAGAAACCAACGCGACTGCCTGTTGAAGAACTAAAATAGCCTTTGTCCATATGTCAAGCTTCCTTTCAAAACCCTATTCCTAACTCTGATGGTCCATTTGCTGTTCATGGCCTTCGTGTCCCTTGACTGTAAGAAGACCCAGGCACTCACGTGAACGGTCTCGTTCTTAACTCCGTCTCCATACACGTTTCGTGCGTTCCAACAAGGTCAGTGGGGCGCTTTGACTCCCGGCCGCAGGTGAGCGATCTGTCGACAACTTGGAATCTCTGAATTGCATTCTTAGGCCCTGCCCCGTGACCCAGCGCAAATCATTTTGCCCGTCTGAGTCGAAGTCACTTCTAAGCCTCCCAGAATCGTCAGAGAACATAATGAATGTGACCATATGCCATTTTGAAAAATAGAAAGTACTAAACAAATAGTCTGTGTGTTTTTAAAATTGCCCTCTTAACTTTGCCTAAACGAGTTCAGGTTGTTTTGCCATGGCATATCCAGGCCCTCGCTTATTTAAACATTCCCCTGATTAGGTACCATTTATCTTCTCACTGTTTCGCCGCGAGTCATTAAGGCTGCCGTCGGCTCCGCCGCCGCTCTGCTCTGCACTGGGTTAAATCACAAGCGCAGGAAAGAGCACTTCCTGTCTGCAGCTGTGGGGAGTAGCTGGACACAAATGAGTGAAGAGGAGGAAAAAGACCCTGTTGCAAATCGATTCCACTTTCACCTTCTCAAGAAAAACGCACATGCACGTACACAAGGGGCCGAGGGGTGGTTGCCCGGCGGGCCCCTCCCTGGTGAGCTTGCTCCTTCCACGGGGCAGCCCGGCCTGCCTCCAGGGCAGCCGCCACGGAGGGAGAGCCGCGCTCGGCATCCCTAGAAGGGCCCCCTGTGAGGGGAAGGGTCGAGTCTCGGACCACGTAGAAAGGACCCACGGACAAGGAGAGTGGTGCGGGGAGGACCGAACGTGGGAGGTGGGAGGTGGGAAGGCAGGGGAGAGTAACGGGGGGAAAATGGGGACAACTGTAATTGAACACCAATAAAAAAAAATCGTATCTCTTTTGACAATTAAAGAACAAAGAATCATGGGAAAGGGCACTTCAGTTGAGGCTTCGGTAAGACTTCCAGAGGCTAATGGGAATATGGAAAAAGCCAAAGGATCATAGAATGCTGGATTCTTCTGAAATTATGGTTATCTTTGTTTGAACTTCAATCTTTCATGCCTATCAGAAAACAGTTTTTATATATCTAGGATGCCTGCTTTTCTTGGAGTATTATTTTATCCACTTTTTTACTCTTTATGTAAAAACATACAGTTACGTATGTATTTTTAAATAATAATATACATATGTGTAATTATGTACATGTAAAAATATAAATCCCCTGTTTTAAATGGACTCATACCCTCACGACAGTGTATTGTACAGACGTCTGAGCCCCGGGTGTTCATTCCAGAAGCGCCCCGTTGGGTACAAGGAGCAGAGCTGTGCGTGGTGAATACCCAGCACTGTGTCACGCGTGTGTTGATTTTCATTTGAAGGGAAGAGAGCTTCGAGCGAGAGAATTCGTCGAAGAATCACAACCAGAAAAGGAACATGTTGACTCCTTGTTCGAAACTCCATCCTCCCAGCCCTGCTGCGTCTCTGAATGGCTTTGAGCAGAAAAGCTAGTTGCCCTGCAAAACGAATGGTGGCCTCACACGGGTCCCCCCTTTGCAGGCCGTCCCTGTGGAAGGCGATACTGTGGCCCGTCCTCTTTGAAAGGGGAACGGCCGGTCTGCCTCCTGAAAGGGAATATGTTTCAGCCAAGTTTCCTAAGGTTCAGAGTTTGGTGGGCAGTTTCCTTTGAAAGTTTACATTAAGTGTTCTGCCACTCAAGTCTCCATATGGAATTGTTTAAGAAGTTTAAAGCCAGCAATAAATGCCTTGCTTCAGACATACTGTAAGCCTTTGTCTATTGAAACATAGCAGCTGTTTCATCGCTTAAACATACCAGGTAACAGCGACACAAAGAAACAGCAAGTTTATGACAGGCGGTCGCTCTGGACGGGCTACAGTCCAGAGCGACTTCGAGGTTAACGCACACGTAACGCCCCACGGCGAGCGCGTTTGGATGGCCTCGTCCCTGTGGCGTCCCATGTTGCTGGAGGTTTTCCCCCGGAGAATCAAGGAAGTGGACCCAGCTTTCTCCTACAAATGCGTGTGGCCAAGGGGCGCATGATGCTGCGAAGGAGCCCACAAAACAGCCACACGCTGGGGACTCACCGCTTTGCCCAGATTGTAGCTGACGACAGTGAGGCTCCAGGTGGCGGGCGGGCGGGGGGGTTGTTGTTTGGGATCCTGCAGCCGGGCTGGCAGAATCAAGGTGAAAACCCTGCCTTTTCAAGCAGGAGGATAGTCTCCATTTCAACAGTAGCAAACGCGTATGGTGAGGTTAGGGAAACCCCACGTCAACCTTCTCAGAGCAGTGGGCTCCTATCCCAACTTGCTATGCATGGACATCTTCCCACATAGGATGCAGAGATTTAGTTAGCGTTTGTTTAAATATGAAGAACAACGGTTTGCATCTAAATAATTTAAAACATTGTTTCTCCTATTTCAACAAGGCCAGATAACGCAAAACAAATAGAATGGGAGGGCCACGTGCTGCAGCCTGTCTCTCCCGCGCCCTGGAGACGCACAGTCCCTTTCCCCGCCACTGGCCTTTCAGTGCACAATTAGTAACATGTGCCCTAGTTTCAAAACCCACTGTAACTGTAATGCCCATGGAGTGGAGTGTTATTTTAAATGTTCATTATTTGAGAGGAACGTGCATCTTAAATACCAGAGCAGTGATTTGTTTCCACGGGTCAAGGATCCAGCACCCTGCTGCAGAAAGAGATCCGCTCCCCGGACCTGGAAGCCCCCCACCCCCGCCCCCCCGGCCTCCCCCCCCCCCCCCCCCCCACCGCCCCTCACCAGGGGAAACACTGCTGACTCCATACACCATAGATTAGTTCTGCCCGGCCTTGAACTTCGGAATCTCACGGCCTTTTTGTGTCTGACTTTTTTTGCGCAACATGTTTGTGTTTGTGAGTCAAAGGATGTGACTTTTTGAAGAAGGAAAACTGTGTTGGACTTTAGTCCAACTCAATCCCTGAGAGATGGAGAAATGACAGAATTATGAGATCACAAAGAATCACAAAACTCTAACCAAGTTCCTCTCGAAAATGGAGCCCCTTTAAACTTCTCAGTTACATTTTCATACGTGTCTCTGTGTTCCACGTGGTGGCCCTCCCATCTAGAAGCAAAGGGATTTTAAGGAAACGGCCTTCTTAGCGCCTGAATTGTATGAAGACTCTAGAAATGTCTTTTCTATTTGTGAAGACTTTAAAATGGTCTCAGTGACAAAGATAAAAAGGGTTAAGATCCCAAAGTAGTGCAGGTTGCTAGAGAAGGGTTAAAGCAAGAGAGAGGAACCATATGGAACATGGTTAACGACCTCGCATTCCTTCACACTGAGCGAGCGAGCGAGCGGAGCGGTGATGCCTGTTTATCTAGCCCGGGGAGCTCGAGCCGCCATGAGATTTTGTGTGTGAGAGCTTTTTTTGTGAACCATACAAAGGTGTATTGGGTCTAAGGTGTTATAATTAAAAGCATACATCTTATTTTGCATCTCACATCCAAGAATAATTCGTTTATGTCATATTCTGTGAGGGTATTTTCTGCAGGCGCTCATTTGAAAGGGGCCCTGGCCTCTTAACTTGTCGCGAAGAATCCTTGGTATAAATGTGTGTCCCGTTGACATTCAAACTGCTCAGAAAGTCCCTCAAGTGCCTGGAAACTCCCCAAAGTACTCCCCCCCTCCACCCCCACAAACTAGCAGGGGAGGGAGAGGAGAGTCTTTCTCAAATTTTGCTTAAGTGCAGGATAAAATATCAACCTGTGTTCTGAACTCCGTCACTCGATGCCTGTACTACAGTAATAACTTTCTGTTTGTTCTCCTGACTCTACGCCTCAGTGCCGGTTTAGCCTGTACGCTGCCGAAAGAGTGGCTTTGGTTTGTGAGGCACCCGCTAGAGGCCAGGCGGCATGATGGGTAATTTCACTCTATCCTCGCACAATTCTTGAGGCAGCAACAACCACTGCCCTCATTTTACAGAGAGGGAAGCTGAGTCTCAAAGCGGCTAAGTTATCTGTACAAGAACAGGGAGTGTCTGAGCTCAGACTCAAATTCAGAGCCGTCTGATTCCAAAGCACCCAGTCTTTTTAGCCCTTGTGCTGTGGGGCCCTGTTCTCTCGTGCTTATCCCACTCAGATTATTCCAGAAGATTGACCAGGCTTTGGGGGAGGCAGCCAAGTGTTAGCGTGCACCGTTTTGATGGGGAAGAGTTGGTTCAGGGCAGATCTTTGGTCCGAATGCCGAAATAGGCCCTTCCTATTTCACTTCGTGTTTTGTTTGACAGTTGCTTCTTCATTCAGATCTGCTTTAAATCTATTCTTGGAAGGATCTTCTTTTAAATTGTGTTTAATAGATTCTAAGTGATACTCCAGTAAGATGTAAAGCTTCCAAAGAACTTAACCAGCCAGTCGCCAATGCCAGGAAAATTGTCTGGTTTTGAACTTGGAGTCACACTGTTCCTCCAAGTGCACACACACCCGGCAGTGGAAGGTTCGTGCAAACGTCCGTGACTCCTCGGGTACCTGCAAGTGTGTTTACAAGTCAGTAAATCTTTCGGCCCAACTTGCTGTCTTTTCTCTAAGCCTGGCTTTTCCTTCTTGACTTCCGATTTTTTCTTCTCCCACTCCCCCGGACCTCAGTGCTGCGGGCCCCGTTCTCACTTGGCCCTTCGCGTCCAAACAAGCCCACTGGCTCCTTCCTTCACGCTGTGGTTTGTGCGTGCCTACCGTGCCCATCCCCCTGCAACCTTGCGCAATTAAACCCTTGTCCTCTCATGGATGATCTGCGTGTATCGCCACTTGCAAGTTCTTTCCCAATCACAGCCAGATTCATTCTCCTAAAACTCACTTTTATTGTTTCTCTTGCTCGCTTAAGAGGCTTCCATGGCTCCCCGTTGCCAAGTGGATAAAGTTCAAACACTTCTCCTCGGCGCTGGAGGCTCTCACATCTGGCCCCCAGCTACCTGGCCACACTTACCTTGTGCAGCTGTCACACAGCAGGCTCCTGCTCTCCCAGACGGCTGTCTGAGGGCTCCTTGTCGACTGGACTGCGTCCACATCTGCACCGCTCTGGGTTTGCAAAATAAGGGCAGCGGACCTAGTTTTATTTCACGGTGAAGCGGTGATTTAGCCAGATTTTCTGATTAGTAGAGTTTTCTGCCTGATCAGATACCATTACCAAATCACGAAGTTATGTTAGACTCTGGTCATCTCCAAGCCGCCCTTTTGACGACAACCCAGGAATGCTGAGCTTCGGACAGGTGTTCTGCCGTCTGCCCGAATTTGTAACAATTAAACATACGGGTCTTTGGCGTTTCCTTGAGAGATTCAGTGGCTCCAGGTAAGTGAGAGTTTTCTCATTTAACGGAGACACTGAAAAATCCAGGTGGGTCTCTTCCTCTAGACTCACGTTCCTTAGCGTGCCTGCTACAGCGCTCTGACGCCGCGCCGCTCCCGCCTGAGCACACGGCCCCTTCTGAGCGCCCAGGCCAAGCCGGGCCAGGGGGGCATGGACAGAGACTAGGCCTCAAGTCAGAAGACAGTGTGGGACCTCGGGCCAGTCACTGAGCCTTCTTGAACTTCAGTTTCTTCATCTCCAAAACGGGGGCAATGGTCCGTTTCCGAAGTGTGCGGCGAGGACTGTCGGACGGCTCGGGGAGGCTCCTGGGGCGCTCGGTGTTTCATCAGTTCTCACGTTCACGTTTTCCCCTTTGACATTTCTGACACGAAGACAGACGTCTGTTCCACTCAGTAGCATCTTGGTCTTCTGGTACCGTTTTGTTGTGGTGGCGGTGGTGGTTTTTCCCTTACCATGTGTCCCCCCCACGCTCCTCCGCACCCACATTCGCCACACTGTGGCCCGTGTCCACGAGTCCTTTCTCCGTTTTGCTCCACCCCTCTACGCCCCAGCCCTCCGCCCCGGGGCTGCCAGCCTGCTCCCTATCTGTGAGTGTGTCCCCGTTTTCCTCATTAGTTCAGTTGGTTCATTAGATTCCACATGTGAGTAAAATCATATGGTGCTTGTCTTTCTCTGACTGGCTTATTTCACTGAGCATAACGTTCTCCGTGCCGGCTGGCAGAGTTTTAATTGGTGGTGGGTTTGTTGTTGTTGGTGCTGTTTTCTTTCTGGAGCACATAAAATAGTGGCGTGTCTTAAAACCAGTGGTGTCTTGGACGTGACGACCTGCGGCGGCTGGCTCTCTGTCCCCGTGCAGTGCCCTGCACCGACTGTTCATAACGTAGTCCGTTTTATCTGTTAACCATGAAATTGCTGGTCAGTCCTCATCCCTGTTAAGGAGCTTCTACTGTAAGCTTCTAGAAAGCAGGGGTTGTATCACTTTCTTTGAAAGTTAACCTGCATAATTATATAAGGTTCTGTACTTACTATTGGTGGTAATCCCCCTTTGGAGGATGCTCTGAAACCTATGGCCTTCATCGTATTCCAGGGACTTCGGTAAGAGCTCGGTGAGGGACTGGGAATGCCAGGGAATGGGTGACCTATGTTAGGACAGAGGTTTATTTATGACCTTGGTTCCCATTGGAGCTGCTGCTGCTTACCTGTGGCGCTGCCCTCGTTTGCAAGCCAGGCCACCCCAGACAAGGCCAGGGACCCCCGGCCCAGCCGCAGGCTCTGCTCTGGTGATGGCAGGCGTGGCCCTCTTTTCAGCCACTCTGTTCTGCCTCCCTTTCACGTCAGCAGCCCTAAGGTGTTAGCAGGAGTTGGGGCGGAGGGTCGCTGGCACAGGCCTGAGGATTGGGAGGGTGGTGGAGACAACGGGTGTGAACAGGTGCAACACGGCCCTTCCCCCAGGCAGGACCTTCCTGGGCCCCGTCCATAGGCCCTGAGCCGGCTCCTGCCGGCTGGTCGCACGCTCACTCCTGTCTCGCATTCTGCGGTGGCCAACAGGTGAAGGACTTCATCAACTCCGAGCTCCTGGCCCAGCTGTACTCCTCCGAGGACCAGAACACCCTGATGGAGGAATCAGCCGAGCAGGCTCAGCGCCGGGACGAGATGCTGCGTATGTACCAGGCGCTTAAAGAAGCCCTGGCGATCATTGGCGACATCAGCACCGCCACGACCTTCACCCCCGCCCCGCCGCCCGTGGACGACTCCTGGATCCTGCACTCCCGCAGGTAGGAGGGCGGCCCGCAGTGCCATTCGCTGGGAATGCCCCCCGGACCTCTTAGGAAAAAAGAGGAAAACATGTATCAGAGTTCCGGAGTGAGAGAGATGGGCAGACCATCCTGCCTCCTGCCAAAAACACGCACAATACATCCGGCCGGGGGAATATTACACAGCCATCAAAAAGAGTAAGACTGTTCTGTAAGCACCGAAATGAAAAGACAGTCAAGTTCTTGTGAAGCTCACGAAAAAATAAGTTGTAGAGTGTTTATGTTTTAAAAAAGGAGGGGGTATTTATATAGAGAGAGAAACGACTGTAGAATACAGTTCAAAGGAATGTACTCTTGGCTGTCTCTGCAGAGTGAAGGCATGGGGGAGGGAAGCCTCCTTCTCATCATTTACCCTTTTATACTTTTTAACATTCCTCACACAGATCTGGGTGTCTCGGTCAAAACCTAGTTTTTAAAAAGCACCCAGGGAGTTACGACGTCTTTCTTACAGTGAATGCAGACAGCAGGCAGGAGTGGGCTAACGCCGGCCTCTCTCCTTAGGTCGCCCCCGCCGAGCCCCACCACCCAGCGGAGGCCGACGCTGAGCGCCCCCCTGACGCGGCCCGCGTCTGGCCGGGGGCCCGCCCCCGCCATCCCCTCCCCGGGGCCCCACGCGGGGGCGCCCCCAGTTCCCTTCCGGCCGGGCCCGCTGCCGCCCTTCCCCAACAGCAATGACGCGTTCGGAGCCCCTCCGCAAGTCCCCTCTCGGCCCACCAGGGCCCCGCCCAGCGTCCCCAGGTGAGTGTGCTTGCTGCGTGGGGACAGTGTGGGGGGCTCTCCGGCTCTCTTCTCGTAGCACAACAGACAAAGGTTGCTTGAAAAAGAAAACCGCAAAGATACCATCGTGTTTGCGGCTTTCACCTGGGAGGGGAATCCTGGAGAAACTGCTGAGCTTTTACGCCATTTAAAAACCAAAATGTGGTCTCAACCTCCCCTTTATCGTCTGGCACAAACTGGGATCCAGGAAAACTGGGTCCGAATGATTGACGTTTTGGCAGCTGTTTGTAGAATTTGACGGAGAGCTTTGAAATGAAGGAGGCAAGCTGTGTGCTCCCGGGTCACGAGCGTGTCACCGGCTAAGGCCTCACCTTCTCTGTGACCAAAGGAATTCTCAGAAACCACTGACTTCAAGGAATATTATCCATCTGCCCTCTGAACTCTGGCCCTTAAACCCAATACGATTAACATTGATGTAGGCAGAGTAAAAATCTGGCTGATTAGGCTGCAAATTTTTTTAAACTCTACATAGAAGTGTTCCATGGACATCATGATGGCTGGGGGCAGTCCCTGACAGCATATGAGGTAGACCCTGTGCGTTTGAATAATACGCTTTGGCATTTATAAGTGGATTTTCAGCCTTAATTGTGAAACGAAGTAGCTGGGAAACAAATGGCACCTGAAACATGCATATCATTAAAGCTACATTCTCACCTTCCTACGTTTATAATCAAAATATGTACAATGTGAATAATTATTTTGAAAATAGAAGGAATTCGGTTTTTAAAATCAATAACAGGAATTTTAACAAGGAGAGAAAATGAGCCAGTGTAGAAAGTTAATTTTTAAAAATTCAGCTCAGAGGATTAAAACAGTTGGATGTCCCTTGAGGACAGCCTTACTAAGCCAGTAGCAGAAGTGACTTGCACCCACCCGGGAAGCTGGGGCCGCTCCCCCTCTGATCGCTGCTGTGCCTACGGTCCCCGGGATCCTAGGAGCGTCGCCTGAGGTGAGCCGGGGGCCTCGGGAACTGGGGACCCGAGGTCCTGGAGCAAGAGTGGTGGGGTGAGGAGTCAGACCTGCTAAGCCACAGACCCTGGGCAACTCAGTCACCTCTGAGCCAGGACGTCTGCACCTGTGACACAGGGACAGATTCACCAAGGCCATTGCCAAATCACGTGAGACAAGGTGTTTGACAATGTCCGATACCTGTCATGCCTCGTGGTTGTTACCATTACCATTGTTTTGGTCTTAACCAAAGAGGGTATATGTACTCTCAAACTTTTATGTATTTTTTTCTCTAAACCTAACAGCCTCGGTTTATGTCATCATTTGTTTGGAGCTGAGCAAAATCTCTAATAGAATGGCAACCACCATGGCTCGCACCCAATGTGCCCTCGGTACAGCGAGGCGCCGCCCACAGCGCTTTACCGCCCGTTTGGGTTTAACACAAGCCCAGTGACAAGGGTCGCCCTCCGTTTGGCAGACGGGGCACGTTGGCTAAGCAGCTCGCCCAAGGCTGCGCCACCGGGCAGGCCCTGGAGGCGCGGCCGCGTCCCCCAGCCGCAGCACCCAGGGCTCCGCTGCCGCTCTGCCGGCGTCCTGGCTGGAGGGCGCGGCCTGGCGCGTTCTGGGGCGTGTGGCAGCGTCCCGGCCGCTCCCCGCTGGGTGCCAGCCGCACTCCCCCAGCGCGACCACAGACAAGGTCTCTGGACATTCTCAGTGCGAGGGGGGAGGAAGGCTGAACACCGACCCCCCCTCCCCACCCACGTCCTGGAGGAGCGCTGCCCTGCAGGATTCCAAGGGCTCCCCCTTGCGTGTAAGAAAACACGCATGTCAGCATAGAGCCTCGCTACGGGCCAGATTAAATTATTGTTTTAGGAAACCTCAACTTGACTCATTGTGCCAGGAAGGTAAGGAGACCACTCGGGGCGGATGCTGGAGCAGGGAGGCGGGGGTCCCGGCCAGCAGCCTGGGAGTTGGCCACTTTGTCTGTTGAGCTGCGAGAAGGGACCAGGGCCGCCGGTGCTGCTTGTCCCCAGGATGAACGTGCATGTCTTTGCCTGCTTGCTTGGCTGCTTCTGTCCTGGCTGCTGACGAGCTGCCTCGCCAGCGCCCCTCAGAGTCTCTGCGCCACACTAAAGCGGCGTGCTGGCGGGGGGCGGCGGTACGGGGGCACCCCGGGGCGCCCCAGGAATTCCCGGGCTTGCACACAGCAACTGTGGCAGGAGTCTGTAGCCCCAGCTGGAGAAAAGGGGACAGCAGCTTCCATGCGTCTGCGTTGGGGAATTTATGGGACAGCAGTTGTGCTGTTCAAACATTCTAGAACAGTCTCAAGTTAGAACCGTACTTAACTTGAGCTGGCCTTGCAGAGTCTCACATGTGAAACAGAAGTGAGAGCTCAGAGTGGAAGGGGAAGGTGGGCTGCTTCGTGCTCAGCCCCCCAGTTTCAGGCCCGTTTGCACATCGGGAGAGAAGCCCCATTTGGGGGGAGCCTGAGAGAGCAAGAACAACCCCGCTGGATCCTTATGCCCACTCAAGTTTAGCTTCAGACGGAGAATTCTGACCACATAAAGTCTGTTTTTAATAAAAGAGCAGGAATCCTACCAAATGCAAGCCAGAAATGGGGTTTAAGATTTCAAGAAAAAAGAGAAAAAGAAAGAAAGACAAAGATGAAAGAAAGGAAGGAAGGAAGGAAGGTGGGAAAGGAAGGAAGCAAGGAAGGTAGGAAAGGAAGGAAGGAAGGAAGGGAAAGAAGAAAAGAAAAGAAATTTAGTTGAGGGAAACTCTTGTTGAAATTTTACCTCCTTCTATTTATTTATATATTCTCTTTTCCCTCCTTGATTTGCCTACATTGTCTCTATTAAAAACTTCATGAAGTTGAAATGCTATTATCCATCATCTCCAGGAAAACAACCCTTAGTTTTACAAGAAGGAAGTTTGATCCCCTGCCCCAGTTCTTTGCTTTCTTAAGGGCCCTTCCTCCTCTTTTATTTGAAACCAGAAACTCCTAAGGTGACAAGACAGCACAGGTGGGGCCCCGGCAGCCCCTGATGGGGCTTTGCCGTCCCAGAGGCCATGGCTGAACCTTTGGAGGCCAAAGGCTGTCCCCCTCGGCACGTGCCTGTGCAGTTTTCTTCTGGGTAATTCGCGACTTCATTAGCAAGTAATGATCTTGACTTTTAAGAGCCTGTATACTTTCATTTTAACCCAGTTCAAAGGTAATGAAAGCGCTTGACTTGTACAGAAACCATGAGCCTTCTGGGCTTTTTTGTTTTTTGGTTTTTTTTTAAGATTATGATTCTATCTTTCTATCACAACGTGAAGGCGTAGGAAGGACGGGCCGGTGGAGTCGTTTCTGGCCCAGCTCTTCACAGCTTCTCAAGCTGTTCTGGTTTGTGTGCGCGGAGCCTTTCAGGGAGGGAGCTGGAAATCCTGCGCACTGCACGCCTGTTGTAATTAATTCCACCTGAACTAGGGGAGCGTCACCGTCCCAGAGAGACCCACCAGCAGGGATGCTTCTGTTGTTAGTAACCAGAGTGCACACGGCCCGATTTGCGGGGTGTTTTGCCTCGCCAGCATATTTGGTTTGCCCCTCTGGCCCCACACGACTTCGGTGCTGGGGCTCAGCCCCATCTGAACAGCCCAGCCAGGCGTGTCCTTGTGCAGCAAGGTGCTCTTAGATGCCCCACCCGCTTAGGGGCCCTGTGCTCTTACTGGAAGCTTCGGCCCTTCTTCCTCAAGCGCTCACTGGAGGGCTGATGTAGCTATTTTCAGTTACAACGTGGTGAAATTAGTTAATTGGGAATCGCAGCCCCGGACTTCGACGGAACAAATGAACTGAGTCAGCGTGTGTTTTCCCTGGCGACAGCCGCTCCTGGCGCCATTTCACTCATTTGTCTTCTCCCCTCTCCTTGGGCCGAGCTGTTTTGCAACGGTCAGAAGGGGATGGGGTGGGAGGAAGGGTCTCTATCCAAGGAAAAGCAAACTTCGTTGACCTCATCACTCAGTCTTCTATTTTTAAAAACGTTGAAAAATAGAAGTACTGTCTTGCAGCCACCCTCCTCACCAAGGCTGGTGGTGTCTTTTGAAAATGGCAAGACTGAATCATAGGAAAGGATTTGGCTTTTACTCCAGCTTAGCCACATGACAGGCACACAGCATGGGAACCAAGCACCACTCCCCTGCACGTCTCTGCGGAGCCCCCCGCCCCCCGGCCCGAGGCAGCCGGCGCCCTGCGCTGCGCGGATGGCCCCGGGCCCCCACTTAGGCTCTGTGACTTAGGGGGTTTCCCTGACTTTGCAGGGCACACCCTGAGCCTTATCACACACCCCCATTCTCAGTTGCTGACGGCTTAACCAGCCACAGCAAAGACAGAGAAATCCCTCTCCGTGGGGACTCATGTTTTGTCCTTGATGGAGGTAAAAGCCACTTGATTCTCTTTACCATTGAATGTTGTTGTGAACATTTGGCCTGGGTACCCTGCCAGGCTGTATCTCCTTTGCATATTTTACCTGTTGATTCCATAGACAGGTGACGCAGACTCCCTTTCGCTTATGGGTAAGGGCTCCTTGTCTTGTTTTGTTTAATCGGCCAGTCCCCCAAGTGTGAGTAAGGACAAACCTGTGATGCTTATGAGTGTGTCTTTGCATCCCTAACCTCAAGGTTTGGTGCCACGAAGGATGAACCTGCCGAACCTTGACCTCGGGGCTCAGGTCCACGGACAGTTAAGCGGCTCGTGTGCCCGGCCTGTGTCCGACTCCCCCGCGGTCACGTCCTGGGACCGACCTGACTCGCTCCCTCCTCACGGCCTGTCCAGAGGGTGACTCCTCTTAGCAGCGGGGGGCCATTTGGACAGATGATGGATTTGTCTTGTGATCGCTCTTCTCCCCCTGGTCCTTCCCCTTCAAAGGACAAACAAATAAATCCACAGTTAGGTATCCGGAGTGTTCAGGGAACAGTTTTTATTTTTAGCAAAGATTTTTAAAAGGTACGATTGCCAAGAATAGAATCAAGTCTGA